GATGAATTAGATCCTAGGACATCTGATTGGTCTAAGAAGTTCTTCAAATAGCATATATAGTGGTCATTATCCTCTACTCTATTCATAGTCATTACATTCCAAACGTTATTCCTCTGCTTGAGGACCTTGACTATACGATGTTGTGCGTCTGTCAGAGCTAAAACAAGTTATTAAAACTGAATTTGTTTAAATGATATGTATCATACCTTTCACCTTTGTTGACTTCCCATAAAATGCTTTTTTATTTGGTGGGTCTGCAAGAATATGTAAAGTAGCATTAATGTTAGACATAATAAACTGACTGTTTTAAAATTGATAATGAAACTTGGACTGTTAAACACAATACCTTAAGCCAAAGATGAGAACACAATTAAAGTATTACATACGCTATTGCATGGGTTCATTTATAATTCATTCCTCTAGAATAATACATAAGAACAGTACACTGAAGGTTTTTCGTACGAATTAACCCTTAACAGCTGCATCACAATTTTTGTTGTGACTGAAATAGTACGATTGCTTGTAAAGCAATGAAAGCAAAAACAATTGGGTGAAAATCTCAGATTAACTTTAAAAGTTCTTTAGTCTAATTGCTGTGTTGGTAGAGATAATGAAACAATGAGTCAATTCCCATAGCCCCTTGTACCGGCATATATAGTTTTCTCATTCTCATGACGAAACTTTTTTTAAAATTGGTATTATTGAAGGAATATAATGATATTAGTTACAGTTAACCGACGATATCTTGACATCGCTTTTCTCGATACTTCGGTACCTCGATGCGTTTTTGAAGGTTTGAAAATGTCCCGATTTTCTTCCTCCTTTATCTAAACTGGATATATTTGTTTATCTCGATATTTTTATTTCGATACTTTCAGTATCTCAAAGTAAAATTTCAGCCTCAACAGTTATTTTCACACTCTTATCTTGCGTTAATCTCGACTAATAAATTTCGTCTGTCCCTACATAATTCATCAGCCTCGTGTTATTTTACAGTGGAGATCAAATAATTAAATGGCAGTATGTAAAATCAATTAATGCCATCACGGTCCCGAAAAATATGCAGCAAGACTGGGTCTTAAACCCAGAACCCTTGAAATTATGTACTGCGGCTCTACCGATTGACCTACATTCTATCTTTTCTTGATAGAAAACAGTTCTGAACCGTGACATTTCTAACCCTTCATATCTTACGTATGTATTTAAATTATTTTGTTCCGACAAAAAAATCACGAATTTGTAACAGGTTTAATATTAATTAAAACGATTATATATGTTAGATTGGAATCGAGAATTTTAACAACATACGTAGCAATGTAATGAGCCTACGTAGAACATTCAGCATAAATTTTCGTACATGATATAATGGAGTCTGATCGGGAAGACGGTATGCAAGACAATATATACTGATTTGATTTTATTACATTGAGGTTATCTGTATCAAGGTACTTGTGATTATCAGACTATCACTTGACTGTTTTTTTTGTTTTTTGCTGAAACAACTTTTGTAACTATTTCTGTACCATAACTGGTAAACACCAGGGGGTTCTAGAAAATTTTTTGGGCCAACCCTTTTTGTTGGGGGGCCCGGGGAGCACTCTAGGGCGTGGAAAACCCAAAAACACTGATGTGGGGAAATCTCCTTCGACGGTTTTCCCAAAATATTTTCTGAGGAAATTGGGCTTAACCATGTGATTGGGGGAACTGTTTTAAAAGAAAACCCTATTCAGCAATATTGGAAAAATAGTTTTAGCTACAAAATGAAAAGGGCCCTTTTAGCCGAAAGCTACAATTTTTCCGACTTTCCAAAAAGGGAGTTTTTAAAAAGTTTAAAAACGTGAAATTTTTTTATATTTGGGAAAATTTAATAGTGTAAACCCTTTTAAAAAGTCGGTTTAACAACATTACGGCCCTTTCCCGGGTTTAATTTTTAACCCCCCTTGAAACATTTTTCCAAACCCCAACACAAAAAATTTTGTTACTTCTCACATAAATGATTGGGAAAAGGGTTTAAAAGTTCCCCTTTTGGGAAAAATCACATGAGTAAACCCGTCATGGTTTTTCAAACCCCAAAAAAAAAGTTTCGATTTCCCTTTTTAAATTCCCAAAAGCACCTTTTTTGTTATTTTGTTTTAAAAAAACCCCATATTTCTGCAAAAGCAATATTAAATTTTTTCATTGACCTTCGTGTTTTTCGGACTGTGTTAATTGTTTGAGATAAAACCAGACTTGCTTGACATTCTGTATATAAAATCATTTGCGAATGAAAGATGCAGTTTGTTACCATGGCTTACTTTTAGCATTACTTTCAAAAGGTACAATAATTTCTGTAGTTCAGAATAATTGTTGTTGACTCTTTTTGTCGTTAAAATAATAAATTTGACGCAATATAATTGTTAACATTTTTTCTTACTTTTTTAATGTTGAAACAAAAATCAATGTATCATTCATATAATAAAAAGAGCATCGAAACACGAGGCTATCTGATTTTTAAGAGAGTCTGTAGCCAATAAGTATTTTGCCGATAGTTCTAAGGTTCTTTCTCTTTTGTACCATAGGCAAAAATAAAAACATGTTCCCTGTAGTCAAAATATGAAACCGTAGAAAAAAGGATAATCAAGCATCTGAGTATGACATTTCTTTTGTTATCTCTTTCTCTGTCGTCGCAATTAGTAAACAAACTCCAGGAAAAATTAGCCAATAAATTGGCATGCTCTAGGGTGTTGTTAACTTGCTTAACCATTATGCGGGCCTTCGATGAATACCTTAGCCGTTAAATAAACATTCACTTTATGGTAAGTTTAAGTTAAACGTTGATGATACATGATTTGAAATGATATTTTTCAGGGTAAATTACGAATACCTTTTTTAAAACCCTTTGAAGCCGTTTAGATTTTTAAAAATACTATAAACATAACATTTAAAAAGTAATTGGGTTTAAAATAAACGGGGGGTGAAAACATTATTTTTAAATGGGTGTTATTAAACAAATTTTTTTAATACAAAGGCCTTGAAATTAATATAGGGGGTAAATTTTTAAAATTTAAATGTATACTGATTGTTTTGAACCCGAAAATTTAAATTTTACAATTAAAATCAAATTGTTTAATGCATTTTGATTTGAGATTTTTGCATTAGGGTTTTTTGCATATTTTCAAAACAACCTTTTAAATTTCAGCAAAAAGTTTTAAAGAAAGAAAAAGTAAATTTTTTAAACACAAATTTTAAAGGTTTAAAAAAATTTAAAAAGAAAGTGCTCGGTATCCTTTTTTTAACTTTTAATTTACCTTTATGTTTTTATAACATTAAATTTGCATCGTTGAAAACGAAACACTATACAGACAAAAACTTATGCCTTATCAATATAATCTCAATTCGTTCTTTTTCTTCATCTTATTTTAACACTCGTCTTAAATACTTAATGTAATATACCTTGTTTGTTAGTTGCTCAAACGCCTAGGTATTACGCTTTTTATTCAATAAAATAATTGCATCTCAACACAAACTACACAGTCATAATAATACGTCTTATTTACATCTTTCAGGAAAACGTCTTCCTTGTTATTTTAATCGCTATATTAAAAGATAAAGTTTTCACAATTGTCGTGTAAGGTAAGATTATATAAGTCTATGTAATTTGACCCTAACAAAAAGAGTGACCCCATTTATTCGCCCTTTCCTCATGGACAGAATGGCCGGACTATCCTTACAAAATAAATACCTATAGCATATACAGTTACAGCATTAATTAATAAACAAAACTTCATTCTTTCATTAGCATGGGTTATGATGATACCCTAAATGGAGAGTATATTGTTGAAAAAAGATTATTGGGCTATGTTCATGTTTGTTAAACATATTAAGTGTTTCGCAGTGTCTTCTGTTATCTGTTACATTAATTTGGCCCAGGTCAGGAAGAAAATACACCATTTAATTTTAAAAAGAGATAAAAGTTTAATGAAAAGCCTATCTCACAAATGACTGGTTTGTATAAGAATATGAATTAATATAGATAACATCAGCTTTACTAACTTAAATATTTTTATTATACTATTCACAAACTTACGTCATTAAATTTTGATACATTGTATTTTCACGATGGGTATGTATAAAACCGAATGTTCTGACTTTCTTAGTATAAAATGGTTGTATTTATAGCCATATCTAAAGAAGTGTGTGCCGTCAATTCAAACTATATCTGAAAAACTTTCCTTCTGATTTATCATTATATTAAATGTAACATTCAATTGCTAAGATTTAATACTTTGAAAATACATAAACATATAACTGTTTTAAGTTCATAACAAATTTAGTTATTTTGAAACATTTTAAAAATGTATCAAATAAGTTGTGGATATCTTACCATTATCTTATTCATTTACAGCATCCACTTTTCTTAAATTTGATCACAATTATTTTAACCTTAGGTAGAGTGTTGTTGAAGGAGTTAAACTCTTTGTAAACAGATATTTAATCTTTTTTGAAGTAAATAATGTTTTTTTTTCATTTTCGAATAGCAGGATTGTTATTTTTCCCGTTAAAGAAAACATATTATGCGATATTGACACATTGCGATACTGCCTGAATATGAATATATTTACAGTTTTATGCGAACATAACAAAATCACAACACTTAAAAAACGGGAAGGGATAATACAGCGAGTATAGCTGTTCAAAGCGTGAATTCGTACTGAAAGATCCTGTAACACAATTTTTATATGGTTTTATATCATAAATATGATGCTCAAATTAAGATTTATCAATATTGTAAGTTCCAATAAGCATCATTTATAAAGACATTACCCAATTTAACATGGCATGTTAATAAAGGGAGGCAATTTGAAATTTATTTTTTATAAAATCCAAGAAGCATTTTTCAACAAGAAATGAATGCATATACTTTCATGATTACATATAATGTGCAAACATATTTGCAGTACATATTTTACATATTCTTTGATGTTTGAAAATTGTTTATAAGCATAATTATATAGATTATGTAAAATTTTACTAAGTGTGTTAACAATCTCAATTACAACATACAGGATCTTAAAAAGTGTTTGCTTCCAACTTGACTATAAAGACGCGCGCTGTTGAAGTCATTTTAAGGTAAAGGAAAACGGTGAGATGAACGCCTATATATCGGATGAATCAGAAAGTTAATCACAAAGAACATTCAGACAAATATTAACAATGATAAGAAGTAAATACAGATGATATTTTGTATTATATAATAACACATATTTGAAAAATGAATCTCATAACGTTTGTCTTAACTAGCGGTATCTAATGTTTCATATGCCATATTTTCATTTCTAAACTTTTCCTCAAGTGTTGTATATTCAGAAATGCCTGGTTCTCTTTCTTGCTGACCAGTGACATCTGTAGAGAATGCTACATTAGCATATGTAGATAAATTCGTTCTGAAAATTAGCAGTAAATATTTAATTTACAAGTAAAAAAAATGTTTCATTAATTATACAATTATACGTATATATATATATATATATAGAATTAGGCTTTAGATGTGGTTTATGTAAAATATTACTAAGAGTACAAAAAATGTTTTAAAATGATCATATATAGATTTCTGTTCATCAAGAGAACGTTTACGAATAACGTGGTACAAATTTACGATACTTAAGCATCGGTTCAGTTGTGACAAAATATATGCAGAGTGAAAACCCTCTATTAAGACCACCAAAGGGACTGAATAAATCGGTCTTAATTGCGAGGTGGTCTTAATTTTGAATATTATTATCAAGGCATATATATTTCATGACCACTCTATTTTAATTATTATGTAAAAATATGTTTGAATAATTATGACCTTCAAATTTTACTTTAAACTCTCCTTATAATATTTAAGTCTCATAAGAACATAAGTCTGAAGAAATTTGATACTTAAGAATAAATTTCCATAGGTCTTTTTTCATGTACATAATTCACCTAGTAAATAAGTAAGTAATAATTCTCAAAATAAATGTGCAGAAAGTATCATTAAATCACTATAATGTTTATTTTATCATTTTATTTTATACAATTTTTCAAACATAACACTCTTTTAGCACCTTGTTACATCAGGTGTCATGCTTAAGAGCATTCAAGGAAATGAACAACAACAACTTTGTGATCTGAAAAGGTGGCGACTGGATTATCAGTGGTAGCAATAATGAATTAAACAAGGAATTGGGACTGAAACCGGTGGCCTTAAAAAGTGAATAAGTCACGTGGTCTTAATTGTGAATCATGATACCATTAAAATGGTCTTAATAGTGGAAGGGTTATAATATCGGAGTGGTCTTAAGTAGGGATTCTACTGTATAGATATTTTAAAACTCACATATTTCCATTGTCGGTTTGATTCCTGGATTGTGCTCGACCTGTAACAGAAAATCTTCTCAAATCAATTATTTACGAAATAAGTCCTCAAATACAAGTGTGCGGAATTTCGAAAAGAAGAGGATAATGAATTTGAATGTGGAATACGAACTGTTTACTTTCAAGTGGTTAATGGAATATTATTTTACTTTCAGGGAAACAAATATTCTGTTGATTTATCAGGAAACACAATTTAAATACTACTACTGTTAGAACAAAAGTGCAGTATATTTAAGTTGTGAAATGAAACTAAATTGAAATAGTAAACAAAGTCATAGTACACCTGGAGTTAACTAGAATATAACCTTTAAAGGTACATTTTCTCAAAATCTGATAAAAAGTCGCCAATAGTAATTGTAGTATGTCTTATTTCATTTATAAAAATGACTCTTATCGTAATAAACTAGTTTCAGATTTTTTATTGATATGTAGATTAAACAAGTTGAACTTCAGTTTGTATTCCTGTAATGATTCTTAAAATTATTTTTAGATACCTTCGTGAAAACCTGTTCTTTTCATCAAAAATGTTACATGACCCGCATAGAAAGCCAGCGCAGCGATAACTACACCTAGAACAACCCCAGTAATGATAGTTTTTGTGTTTGATTCGGGACAAATACATTGAAGTTGACACTCTGTAATAAAATATTATTTTTCTCATACACTTAATAGCTCAATCCCTTACACAAAGAGCCTCTTGGGGCGTCCGTGGCCAAGTGGTTAAGGTCGTTGACTTTAAACCACTTGCCCCTCGCCGCTGTGGGTTCGAATCCCGACAGGGACTTTGGATTCTTTCATGTGAGGAAGCTATCCAGCTAGCTTACGGAACGTCGGTCGTTCTACTCAGGTGCCCGTTCGTGCCTGAAATAATGCACGGAGGGGCACCTGAGATCTTCCTCCACCAGTAAAGCTGGAACGTCGCCATATGACATATAATGTGTCGATGTGACGTTAAACCCAAAACATACAAAACAAACAAAGAGCCTCTTAATATATTACGTCGATTACAGCTTATAACACGTGAAATATTATTTTATTAATTAATTAAATACTTCTGATTAGTTCTAATTCATTAATTTTTATTAATAAATTGATAATTAAAATGACTTAATTCTTATAAATAAGTAGATTAATTTATAAGTAAATAAACTGATAAGGTTTTCACGATATGTATGATAAAGGATGTAATTACCTTCGGGCTGTAGAAGAAACATTTGCTCATACTGCCCCATAATATTCTTTACCATAAGCTTGTATATTCCATAAACAGTCTTGTTCACGTTATAAACAGTTAAATTTGACTCTAAATCTACAGTGTCAATTTGAAATGCATGGTTATTCTTCAGAGGTTTCCATTCATTATCATACCACCTAAACCAATGGAAATCTTCTTTAGATGGCTTTGGATAAGCGACTTTTTTAAATGAAAAAACTGCAGAATGGTACTCAGCAATCCAAAAAGATGTTTTTATTTGTAGGTAAGGAGACGGCATTGGTGCACCTTAAATATATATCGATTGTTTCATGAGTTCAAATCTCTCTAAAAAAACCTTTACGAATGGTAAACTTTCAAATTCCAAATCTTTATACTGTTGTTAGATACAAACTTTTTACAAATGTATAGCATAGCTTGAATGAAAACTATTCATTTTTGTCGAATATATTTCAAATAAAAATTAAGTAATCTATATGATAATGTAAATGTTTCAAATGTAAAATTCCTTCACTTACAATTTACATATAGAGTTAATTGTTTCATTGATCCCCTAGTACCATAACCATTTGATCCTGAGCACGTGTAAGTTCCAGCGTCGAGACAGGTAACTGATAACAGTAAATGGTTTAAATTGTTCACATCAGAACCTGATTTCATGACATACCCTGTTTGATTTTTAATGACAATATCAGATCTAGGGTTGCTTTCCGCATTGCAATGCAAATGCACATTTTCTGTTTCCTTAATTGTTACTGGCTTTATATCGGCAAATCCAGCCACAAAAAATTCCTTTACAGTTGTTTCATCTTCATTAGTAAAAAATATGTTTAATAAAGAAGAGAAGATGTTAACAAAACGTTAATGCATTTGTAAGTAAATATTTTAATGAAAATAATATTTGAAATTTCAGACATCAGAAATCGTTGTGAAGCAAATTAATATCACATAAAATGTGTTTTAGTTTGTATTTGATTACATGTAACTTGTTTAGTTTCAATGAAGAAGTGCTTTATATTATTTATGTAAAGTAAGTAAAAAATATGTAAATGTGATTTCACAACGTACACATTACATTCAAAAAGAACGTTTTACTGTCAGGAACAGATATTTGTAGTAATGTCCCAGTTTCTTTCATAAGGTTTGCCACCTCACACAAATAAAGCATGGCATCATTTCTCGACACATTAACAATTTTTAGGATCTGTGTGTTCCATACCCTGGTATCATTTGATGTTGTCCACTTGAATGATGTCATTGAAGGGTTACCAACTGTTACAGGACAAGGGAATGACAGAGTATCTCCTTCTAAAATACTTCGGTTGTTTTTACTTCTTACCACTGGTGGATCTGATAAAATATTAAGAGACAAAATTAGGTATAAAAATCACATTCTGTCATATTTTGCCAATCAAATAGGCATTTTTTAAAAACTTATGCATCTTATCAGTGTCACTAAATTCTATTTTTCTTCAATAATTGATACAATAAGAACAGATAAAAATATGCGGTCTAGCCATGTTTATTTATTATCTAGTTTCTATGTTTTATGAGAAAAAGTATCACTCCTTAATATCAGCTACTTAAGTGTCACCTTGTTTTAAATTAACTTGACATGGGAATCATACTTTATGTCAATATTCATACAAGAAAGGCATCTAAAGCTTAAAATATCGATCTTACTGTTTTTTCTTCTTATTTGTTGATATTCCTTTTATAAAAACAATTATAACATAATAGTAGCAAAATTGTCACAGGTCACGTGCTTTTTGGAATTGAAATACAACATTTCAATGGTTATTGACGATGAATTAGAACCTACAATAACTTCACCATTTGATTGGTCTAAGACGTTTTTTGCATAACATATATTTCGGCCATTATTCTCTACTCTGTTTACAGTCGTAACATTACCAAACGTTGTTCTTCTGTTTGATAACCATGAATATTCTATGTCGTTAGGACTTCCGGAGCTTGGGCAATTTATTGAGACTGAGTTGTGTTTAACGATCTGTATTGTGCCTTTCACCTCTGTTGAATTCACGTGAAATATTGGTTTATTTGGTGGGTCTGCAATATTATTAAAAGTAGTTTTTTAAAACATGGAACAATGTTTGTTAATATTTGTACATAAATAGCTGACATTTTTTTTAATTGATAATGGGAGAATGTATTGTAAACACAATACCTTAAGCCAAAGATGAGAACGCAAATAAATATATAATTATACTTAATCTAGTGTGTTTTTGTGACATAATGCAAAATGAAACATCTCTTACGCCGCCCAATATCTACGGAATGCCGTTAGGGCCATCGCCTATGAATGTGTTGATCTAAAGCGCGATAGTCGATAGTACGATGGTGAAAACGCGAAATCACGAAACTACGATGGTGAAAACGCGAAAGCACGATGATGAAAACGCGATAGTACGATGATGAAATCGCGACAGTACGATACTACGATGATGAAAACGCGATAAACTATCGTGTTTTCACCATCGTACTGTCGCGTTTTCACCATCGTAGTTTCGTGATTTCGCGTTTTCATCATCGTACTGTCGAGTATCGCGTTTCAGATCAAACCATTCATAGGCGATGGCCCTAACGGCATTCCGGAATGCCGTTAGGGCCATCGCCTATGAATGTGTTAATCTGAAACGCGATAGTCGATAGTACGATGGTGAAAACACGAAATCACGAAACTACGATGGTGAAAACGCGATAGTGCGATGATGAAATCACGACAGTACGATGGTGAAAACGCGATAGTACGATGATGAAAACACGACAGTACGATGATGAAAACGCGATAGTACGATGGTGAAAACTCGATAGTACGATGGTGAAAACGCGATAGTACGATGATGAAAACACGACAGTGCGATGATGAAAACGCGAAATCACGAAACTACGATGGTGAAAACGCGACAGTACGATGGTGAAAACACGATAGTTTATCGCGCTTTCATCATCGTAGTATCGTACTGTCGCGTTTTCATCATCGCACTTTCGCGTTTTCATCATCGTGCTTTCGCATTTTCACCATCGTAGTTTCGTGATTTCGCGTTTTCACCATCGTACTATCGACTATCGCGTTTCAGATCAACACATTCATAGGCAATGGCCCTAACGGCATTCCGTAAATATCACCATCTTACATAGTACTGGTATTTAATCTTCAGTAAAACATTTAATGGGACAAGCTATTCTTATTTCCCAGAAATATACACTTATTAAGTTTGTATGATGAACCTTTAAACATCTGCATCATCTCTTTTAACACCTGCTGTTGTGAGTAAAAAACTATAAACTGAAAATTACCTGCAAATCAAAACTGACAATTACCTGTAAATCAATAAAGAAATTAAATAGGTAAAAGCCACACATTGACTTTTCTTTAGTCTATTAACTAGAGATAATAAAAAGGTGAGTAAAATCTCACAGACCCTTAAACGGCAGATTTAGCTTTCTCATTCTCATCATCGGTAATATTGATGGAATAGAATTAAATTGGAAAAATAACAACACTGCGATGAAGTGACTTTTAAAGCTGCTGCATGTAAACAATAGTTGGTTGATACTTGATGTTGTAAAAAGTCAAAGAAGGTTTAGTAACGTTATTCCTATAGATATCAACAATTGTTACAAATTCTACAAGAAGTATTTGAGACAGTTTCATATTCATACATGTAGGAAGTCGTGTAAAGTGTACTTACATATCACAATTAAAAATTTCAAAAAAAATGTCAAGTGATGTCCAAAGTGATAATATTGACTATCGGTGAGTAAAATAAACAATGTTTACACTAAAGATTAGGTGGATAAACAAGTACATTTGTAAAAAAAATGAAAATGTTTTACCAATCTTTACTGATCTTTGAATAAAAAAAACTTCAATTTTTCAAATTCATACATTTTATTATCTAACTGCTACTAACTGATCAATAAAACATTGAGAGAATAACACTGTCAAAATAATCGTACTGTTTTAATGTAGATATTTTTTACAACGAGTTAATGTCTTCCTATAGCAATACACTGAAGTGTATCATAAATTCAATGAACAATTATTTTTAAACGTATAAAATTTATGTACATGTGAAATCGTTATCTTAGCAAATATGCTAGTTTAGGAAAGGCACACTTGTGTGTAGCGTTTATGTTTTAGAGAAGAGAATATTGTTGTATTTGAAGGGAGTTTTGTTGATTTGTTCAAGCTGGTTGAATTTCATTGTGGTGACCTTAATGATCTAGGTCCATTAGTTAAAATTAGTTGTTTTGGTTGTTGCATTATATTAGGTTGTTGAGTTATATCTGTTTAGTAAACATATTTGGTTGATATTGGTCGGATGTTTGGAGTGATTTTGTCTGGTCAAGATTATATTAGTTGGTGCTTTGTTGTTGATATATTTATAAATATTGGTTGTTTAAGTTTTTAAATTAGTTGTTTTCTGAAGTTGATTAGATCTTTTGAAGTAAATATTGTTGATTGAATATTTGTGGCTCATAAGTCAGGCGGTGCTGCCTAGACTTCAAATCTTGGCAATTGGTTCTAGTTTGTATTACTTAATCTTTCCTTAGATTAATTAACATCAAGGCAGTCATTCTCCTGACACACACAAGCATTGTGCAATGATTCAAAGCATTATTTCAACTCCAAAGTTGGTGAGTGTTTGTTAACTGTAATCTAACATACACTAATTAACTATACATAATAAAATGTTACCTACATAAAGTCTGAATTTGTATTGATATGTGTCCGCTTAGTTTAGGATGGGAATAGTAGCACGTGCAATTTGTGTCTGAACCGCGTCTCGCTATCCAGCTTGCTGTCTTTGATACTGTTTTATCGTCAACCATATCTGTTTTTCCTATATTGTAACAGGTCCAAGTAAGAATTGGTTGTGGATTGCCACCTTTGATGAAACAAGTAAGTTGTCCGTGTCTGTTTTCTAAAACACGATATGGAATGCCTTTCTTAAACCCTTAAATGACCGCTGGTCCATCTGGACGATCTATAAATTTGCAATATAAATACTTAAAGACATGTTGTTTCTTTCATTTTTATAAAAGATTCTTATTCTTAAATAAAAAGGTATCTAGCGTTAAAATCTTGATGACTGTTTATCTTTACACTTTATTTGAAATAGTTAAATTATAGTATGTCATTAAACAATCCAAACTTTTCATGATAATATCTAGCTTTTAAAAATTCATAACTTACGTGTACATTATGTTTCTTTTTTGTAACTGATTTACTCATTTACATATTTTGAAAAAAGTTTAATGGTTAAATATCAGATATTTATATTCTTAGATTGGAAACGAATACACTGACAACATATGTAGCAACAGAATGGACCTACGTAGAACATTCAGCATCGGTTTTCGTGCAGAATATATTGGTGCCTGATCAGGAGAACTGTATGCCGAGCAATATATCCTAGTTTGATCATCATATTTTGATATAACCATTGTCAAGACACTTGTTGTAATTATCAGGTCATCATTTGAGTGACTATATGTTGAAATAAACGTTATATTTATCGCTATATCATTACTGGTATCAGCAGGTGTTTTAGAATCCTTGTACAATTTTACAGTTGATTCAGGTAGTCCTCCAGATGTTACACATTTGAATTAACTTAAAACACCTTCGTCGATGGTAAGCATATCACCTGATTGAGGAGTTATCATTCGAACCAGCGAGATAGGAACTGTAAAAATGAATATATTACAGTAAATGATATTGATGATGTTTCAAGGATTATTATTATATTTTTCAGCACCGGTACAATTAGTCAATGCAAATAGGACAACTGTTATGGTCGTCGTATCTAGTCGACATGCAACATTTAGAGTTTAAGACACTTAAAGTAGTAGCATTTTTACATAACTATTGTCAATATCATATAATATTAAAGATTTTATTGCTATTAATTTCATATTATTTTCATTTCGTGAGTATGGCAATGCGGACTTTATTTTGAATTAATATTTGTATTTATTATTATATTAGCATTTTATTGTGTTACCTTTAATTGCAGGTTTAACAGTACTACTACTTATCCCGCGATATCCTGTCATGAAAGCAATTTCACATCTCCAATTATTGGTCCTGTTACTTCTCCTGACATTAATGATCGTGAGGCTAAATATCTTCTTGGTTATGTCACAAGTGTAGCTGTGTAGATTTTCATTCCTCCAAAACAGTTTCAGGCATGATCTGTTAATTCTAAAAGCACTTTCGGTTATATCGTTTGCAATCCAATATACTGCTGTAATACTTAGATTACTATTGTATTGACATATCAGCGTTTGAGGACTGTGTTCATTGACTATTTTTGGAAATAAAACTAGACTTGGATTCTGCACACTTTCTTGACATTCTGCATCTAATTCATAATCAAATGAAGGACGCATTTTTATTTCTAAGCGATAAAATGTATTTAATGTATTTAAAAAGGTTCTGTAGTTCTTAGATTATTTTCCACCATTAATTTTGTCAGTGTTTTTTCCATTACGTCAATATATTTTATGCAAAAAAATATCAACATTAAATTCATTTTTTACTTTGTAAAGTATAAAAAAGAAATTAATTAATATCTGAAAATGTAATTGTCGTGCATAAATATTAACAACTTATTATTATTCATTTTACAATGGACTCGTTAAAATGCATTCAATGATTTAATTATCTGTCCTTGATCGAAGTATTTATGTCAAAGAAATATATCATAACATTTGATTAACATGGTTACTAAACATACACCATAACGAAGATGACACACTAAATATTTATTTAGTAAAAATAAGTGTCCAAACCATAATATTTATGAATCTATGTTTTTTTTTCATAAGTGATACCAAATCATATAATTTATATGCAAAGAATTAAGTGAACAGTGTACCTTTTATGTAAAGCAATAATATTATCCATACAACACTTGTATAATAATGTTCCATTTTTAAAAGGTGTAAACTTATACAATTTTTAAACGTCCTGTTTGTATTATATTCCATTCATATTATCACAAAGTAAAGCAATACCTCGTTTAAGATAAATGAGCCGCGTCACGACAAACCAACATAATGGGTTTGCGACCAGCATGGATCAAACCAGCCTGCGCATCCGCGCAGTCTGATCAGGATCCATGCTGTTCGCTATCAGTTTCTCTACTTGTTATAGAGTTTGTAAGCGAAGAGCATGGATCCTGATCAGACTGCGCGGATGCACAGGCTGGTCTGGATCCATGCTGGTCGAAAACCCATCATGTTGGTTTTGTCGGGACGCGGCTCAAAAAGTCCAGTTAAACACGGAGCGCTGGTGTATCATTTTACATTGTATTAATGGTGAATTGTTATTCGTCTTTGTAAGCGTAACGCAATACAGAAAATCTGAATAATCTCAAAATGTTTTATCAATTAACTTTTTTCACACTCATCCTTTATATAATACTTAATTTCTATACACAACTACACAATCATTATATAATGGCTTATTTACATATTTTATGAAAAAATTTTCCTTATAAATTTAATCGCTACATTAAAAGATGCATTTTTCACAAATGACGTGAATTGGTACTTGTAAAGATAAAAGAAATAACTTGTAAGTCCATACAAATTGATCTTTTATTTCGGAACCCAACAATAATGGTGACCCATCAAAATAATAAGTATGGCTGCGGAACCATCCCGTACTATCCTTACATAATAAATAACTTTCGCATATACACTTATTACATTTATAAATAAACAATAATTCATGTTTTTCAATAGCTAGGGTTATGTTCATACCCTAATTGCAAATAAATATGGGTGAAAAAAAAATTTTTTTAGGCCATGCTCATATTTGTAAAATATGTTGGGTGTTTCGCTAGGTCTTACGTTATCTGTTCATTTTATTTGACCTAGGTAAAAAGAAATTATTATTATCATTAAATTTAAAAATAGATAATTGTTCAATGAAAAGGTGTTCAGCATGTAAAGCCTATCTCACAAATGAATGGTACGTAAATAAGACGGTATAAGAATATGAAAGAGTACAGATAACATCAGCTATGCTAATTTAAATATTTGGTTATACTATTCACATAATTATGCCATTTGATACATTGTATATCACAAAGTTTATGTACAAAACAATAAGTTCTGACTTTCTTAGCATAAGATGGTTGTATATAAAGTTATATCTAAAGAAGTGTGTGTCGTCGATTCAAAATGTATCTGAAAGACTGTCCTGCTAATTTGTAATTATATGAAATGTGACTTTCAATTGCTAAAATTTAATACTTTGATAATGCATCAAAATATAACTGTTTTAAGTTCATAACAAATTTAGTTATTTTGAAACATTTTAAAAATGTGTTTAATGAGTCGCGGATATCTTACCAATATTTTATTTATTTACGGCATTCAATTCTTTTTTTTTAATTTGATCTTTAGATACAGTGTTGTTAAAGGAGTAAAACACTTCGTAAAAAGATATTTAATCTTTTTTTAAGTATATTATCTTTTTTATTTTCGAACAGCGGGACATTTATATTTCCTTATATGAAAAAGCCTGTAAGAAAACATATTGCGACATTGACATATTGCGATTCTGACTGAACTTCGTGCTATTTTTTATGTATTTAACATGCACATGCTTAGCATGATTTATTATAAATATGTATACATATATTAACAGTTGTATGCAAACACAACAAATTCACATAACTTTTAAAAGGAAAATACAGCAAATTGACTGACTATAGCTGTGCAAAGCGTGAATTCGTTCTTAGAAGTATTTAACTCCTACTTGATTTTATAGAGTCATTTTAAGGAAGGAAAAACTGCAAGATGAACGGCTATATACCGGATGAAACAGTAAGTTAATCACAATGAACATTCAGACAAATATTAACAATGATAAGAAATAAATATAGATGACATTTTGCATCATAGAACAACACACATTTGAAGAAATGAATCTCATAACGTTTGTCTTAACTAGCGGTATCTAATGTTTCATATGCCATATTTTCATTTCTTAGCTTTTCATCAAGTGCTGTATATTCAGAAACGCTTGGTTCTTATATATCTAACCTTTCTCGCTGAGAAGTGACATCTGTAGAGAACCCTAGATTAGAATATGTTGATATAATCGATCTGAAATAATGGTAGTAAAGATTTAATCTACAAGTAAAAACTCTTTCATCAATTATACGTTGATATCTATATAAAATTGTGGCTTAAGATGTGATTTATGAAAAAGCATTACTTAGAGTACAAAAAATGTTTGAGAACAAAAGATTGTCATACATTGTATACATTGTATATAAATTTCAGTCCATAAAAAGAACGTTTAGAATTACGTGTTACGGTAAACATCGGTTCATGTGTGACATAGTGGATGTCTCTATTTAAAACTTACATATTTTCGGTTAGATTCCTGGATTGTGCTGGACCTGTAACACAAATTTGAAGTTGTAATGTTTGATATTAAGTAGGAACACGAACTGTTTTTTAACTGGTACATGGAATTTTATTTTCAGTTCAGAGAAAAAGAAAAATGTTACACTTGTTTATCGATTATTATTATGCTTATCGTTTATTTTCTCAACATCTGATAAAGGTCGTCAATAATATAATTAATGTAATATGTGTCATTTCAATTTCCAATAGCTCTTATCGTAATAAATTTAATTCGTTGTTTTTATTGATATGTGGTTTAAATAAATTTGACTCCAGCTTGTTTTCATGTACTTTAAAATGTTTTCAAATACCTTCATGAAAACCTGTTCTTTTCATCAAAAATGTTACATAACCCGCATATAGTGCCAGCGCAGCGATAACTACCCCTAGAACAACCCCAGTAATGATAGACTTTGTGTTTGATTCGAGACAACTGCTTTGAAATTGACTCTCTGAAATCAAAGAAAACAATTTTCATATACCTAATGACTCAATCCCTTACATAGAGAGCGCCTTAATATATTGTGTTGATAATAGTTGAATAATACTAATAATTAATTAATTCATCAATTCATCAATTAATGATTATTATTACATAATTAATTTTAATCAATAAGTAGATTTATAGATAAATAAATAAATAAATAAATGAATAAATAAATGAATGAATGAATGAATAAAAAAAAATAAATAAATAAGGTTTTCACGATTGTTGAAAAATTGAATAGAACAAAATGTGTATTAAATGTACTTATTACCATCAGGCTGTAGAAGAAACATTTGCTCATACTGCCCCATAGTATTCTTTACAATAATCTTGTATATTCCGTAAAAGGTCTTGTTCACGTTATAAACAGTTAAATTTGACTCTAAGACTTCAGTGTCTATTTGAAATGCTTGGTTATTCGACAAGGGTTTCCATTCATTATTATACCACCTAAACCAATAAAAGTCTTCTTTAGATGGCTTTGGATACGCGACTGTCTTAAAAGTAAAGACTGCAGAATTGTGCTCAACAATCCGAAAAGTTGTTTTTATTTGTAGCTTAGGAGACAGCATTGGTGCACCTAAAATAAATATCGATTGTTTCTGAAAACTCTCTAAATATCCCTTTACCAGTGATACACATTTAAATTAAAATTCCAAATCTTTGTACAGTTGATAGATACAAAATACTTAAGAATTTTATATTGCAAAGCTTAAATGAAAACTATCAATTTTTGTTCATGTTTTTAAAAAAAATAAGTATATGATTATGTAAATGTTTAAAATGTAAAATTCCTTTACTTACAATTTACATATAGAGTTAATTGATCCATTGAGTCCCTAGTACCATAGCCATTTGATCCTGAGCACGTGTAAGTTCCAGCGTCGAGACAGGTAACTGATAACAGTAAATGGTTTAGATTGTTCACATCAGAGCCTGATTTCATGACATACCCTGTCTGATTTTTAATGACAATATCAGATCCAGGATTGCTTTCCACATTGCAATACAAATGCACATTTTCTGTTTCGTTAACTGTTACTGACTTTTTATCTTCTAATCCACCCACATAAAAGTCCTTTACAGTTGTTTCATCTTCAATAAAAAATAAAAAGTGAAAAAATGTAAGAATAGACTTCTTAAAGTCTAAAACTTGCATATATTGGGCAATAATTATTTTAATGAAAATGTCATTAAATATGTCTGTAGTTCAGAAAAAAGAAAACCTTGTATTCTGAATTAATATCATTATAGTTTGTTTACAGTCTTTAATTCATTAGAAGTAACTTGCATAGTTTCAACTTTGACGTTTTAATTAATATTTAGTACGTATTGAAAAGATTAAGATATAAAAGTGCAACTTGACACGACAACGTACACAATACATTCAAAAAGAACGTTTTACTGTCAGGAATAGATATTTGTAGTAATTCCCCAGTTTCTTTCATAACGTTTGTCACCTCACACGAATAAAGCATGGCATCATTTCTCGACACATTAAAAATTGTTAGGATCTGTCTGTTCCATACCCTGGTATTATTTGATGTTGTCCACTTGAATGATGTCATTGAAGGGTTACCAACTGTTACAGGACAAGGGAATGACAGAGTATCTCCTTC